TCTTTTCTTTTCACCCACACTGTTATTATTCTGCACCTTGTTGTTTGACCTCCTATAAAATAAACCTTTTCCTTGTTTTACTCTGCCTGGTCCTTACGCCTGTTATTCGGTCTGAAGGTCTTGGGAGGGTACTCTGGGCTTTCTCAAGGGAACCTAAATCCAGAGTGGTGGCAGCGTCAGGTGACACCCCACCTGAGCTGTGACAATTGGCATAAAATACCTTAAAAGAGGATTACTATAGAAGAGAAATATACATATAGAACCAACCATTTATTCAAATCTGTCCTTATATATAAAAGCATTTTGGAATGGCAAAGTTCTATGCACGCCAAAATCAGTTGGCTGCGTGAACTGCCACTCAGAAGGCGCTGGCTGCATTGGCTGCCTGCCTTGCGGGGTCCCACCCACAGAAGCTGTGGCCAGCCGCTCAGGCTCACTGTGCTCTGAGGTGGTGGAAGGGACAGATGGGACTCTCCGCGGGCCTAGGGATGGCTGGGGCCTCCTTCCATCCAGCTCAATTGCTTTTCAATTTGGAGGAGGCTTGTAGCTCATCAAAAAACTTTTTGCAGCATTCATTGAAAGACAATTTTGGATTAAAACTTTGGTATTTAGCAACCTTGTGCTGAAAATTATTGTTGGACTCCCTGAGGAAGATTCTGAAACAGAAGGACATCTGGACCTCTGTTGGAGGAAGACAGAGCACATGTAAAGAGAATTTAAGGAGTCCTCCCTTTTGAAACTTTTTTACAGAGGAGGACTAGTATATATTATAAGGTTGTACTATATCTTTTGAGAATCTATGGAGATGATATTTGACATTTTGATCTCTTATATTATGAATTGTGACTATGATGATTAATATGTATGAAGAAATTATTGTAATAATATTTTTCAAAATATATAAAATTATTTATGCTAGGTTATAATTCTTCTGATCACGGTATCTGTTGTATGTTGGTTTTCTTTTCCCACTCTTTTTGGCCTTGGGGCAGCTGGGAATTGTAGTCCAGCAGATGAAGAAGCCCCATTCAACCCAGTGAGTGATACTACTACAGGCCCCTCTCTGGAACTACAGCTCAATTAAACCTTATGGTAGAACATTTTAAACAAACAACCACAGACAGCAGCCATCTTACAAACACAGATAATTGCCATTTCGTTACACCTACCAACAGCCACTGAGGGAAAAATTACTCCCACACAGGAGGATAGCAGGAGAAGCGTCTTCATCAAGAGAGAAAGCCATTTGCAGAGTGGCTGAAGGGGGAGTGGGCGGGTAAGAGGAGCAGACCCAGCACCTGGCCAATGGCACACGAGTACTCTTGAGTGGCGGCTGATGGGCTGAGGGAGAGCATTTTACAGCCAATGGGAGCACATATAATGTTGCCACTTTAAAACAGCTTATTATGGTCCCGGTCACACGAGCCAGATAACGCAGGGGGGAGAGGTGTGGCTGTTCGCCCTGGAGCAAAATAAAGCTCGGTAGCCCGATCACACGGCCCCCCGAGTCTCTGTGCTTCGACTGTTAGCTGGCAATCACACGGCGATGCTGCAGCGTGGCAAAGAAGCAGTGCGGTGCGATCACACAAGCGTTTCGCATTTGTGCGCATGAGCAGTTCCGCAGAGCAACACTGCTTTCAGTTTCATGTTTGTGCACATGAGCTTATGGAAAATATCTGGTTTGCGACAGGATGTGGACGGGCGCTGGATGCCACAGGATACTAGCGCTCCCGCGATCAGACGCCCACCTGTGCCGCACGTTTTCCAGATACTAGTGCACTTTCCTTGGTACTTATTAACTCCACATCTTCGGTGGGATGCCACGGGTTGGCCACGGGTGTGCTATGCTTCCCAGATGTTGCAGTGTGATCGCGCCCCGAAAATCCGTCCAACATTCGTGCCTTTCGCGTGGCAAATTCTCCGTGTGACTGGGGCCTATATAGAGAGATTCTTAAATTATGGTGTATGGCCTATAGGCTTTTAAACCTGAATAAAATATTGACTTCTGTAAAATATAGATTGTTGTGGGAAAAGTAAGCATAGATACCGAAAAACATAACACAAATAGGTAATTTATCAGAATAAGTTTCAGAAAAGAAGAATCTGACAAAATATGTTTCCGTTTCAACCTTATAATGTTCGGAGAAACAACTGGGCTTGCATTCCCCACCCCCCACCACAAAAATCCTGTGCAGTTTTGTTTCAGATATGTCACAGAAGCTGTTTGCAGAACTATTGGTTGGTGCCTTTAAAAGTAGGAAGTACTTAGTGGAACAAGTGTTTATGAAATGTTTCCCACAGCATCTATACAACTGAATCTGTGCTGCACTGGACATTTCTTTGCAAGCTAAACTGCTACTGACACTGGGGACTGCAATCAAATAAGGCAGGTAACCTTTCACCTTTCATTCACATTTTGGTCCAATGCAGACTGGGTGAATTAGGTGGGAAAGGATACAACTGTTGTAAATTAAATAAATGAATACATTTAACAGTACAAAAGTGCAGGCTTCTAAAGCACATTAAATTCTAAGCTTCTGTTCACGAATATGAACATGTTCTCTTTCAGGCATTGCCAGCAGTTGGAGGGAGATGCGTGAAAAGTCTCCTGGGGTGGTGGGGGTGGTGCTTTTGGGGGTTTTTTTATTTGAAAGGCAGCATCAGATGCTGTGACTGGAAGTTAAAAGGCAAAGTGGGGAAAGGGTGCACTATTTTTACACCATAGCATGTTCCTACTAAAACTCACCACTTTGTCTCCCATCAAGGGAAAGATGCAGGCTCCCCATAGCTTTAAATTTTCAGCAATTTCCCCCAAGTCAGAGTTGAACTAAGAACGGGAATTGGTCTTCTAATTCCTGGCATTCCTCAGCCACTGCAGGTTTTAACTAGCTCAGCCAAACTAAGGAAATGGTCTATTACTACTATGGTGAATGGTTTCTGTAGGTTATTACATTTGAATATTACATAATGACCTCCTGCCAACCTAGCAGTTCAAAAGCAAGAAACTGCAAGTAGATAAATAGGTACCCCTTCGGTGGGAAGGTAACAGCATTCTGTCCGTCTCAGTGTTTAGTCATGCCGGCCACATGACCACGGAAATATCCTTGGACAATGCTGGCTCTTCAGCTTGGAAATGGAGGTGAGCACTGCCCCCTAGAGTTGGATTCGACTGGTTTTCAAGCAAGGGAAACCTGTACCTTTACCTTTACATAATGACATTTCATCCCATTCTTTTTGCATTTCATGCTCCCTTGACCCCCGCTGGTTATTTTTCCCTGTACAAATGCCTCCATAGCAAGGATCCAGGATATGCATCTGAAGAAGGGAACACTAGTCTGTGAAGGTTTATGCTGGCATAAAATCTTGTTAATCTTCAAAGTGTTGGTAGACTACTCCTACAACAGATGAATACAGCTACACCTCTGGAATGGCCTGGGTAGAGTACTTTAAAGCAGAAAAATAGTGGGTAGGGATACAGTTGAAAAGGATGTTCCTTCACTGAAACTACAAGCTTCCTACGGGTTCTTTTCAGTAAAATCATTTTTTTAAGTAAGTACTGTCCAGTTTGGCCCACAGACTGATTATCTTAAAGTTTTTACAGGTGGTTACATGGCAGGACGTGTGCTGCAGCTGTAGTTATTGTTTTACTAAATGTATATGCTTTATGACCTCTCAGGCTGATTTCACCTGTTACAAAGCCCTGCTGCCCCTCACATGTTTGCCCCAGTCCCATTAATCTGGGACTTTCAGTCTTGGAACTTAGTTACTGGGCATGTGCAGACCTGACTTGGATTGGGACCACAGCACAGACAGTCAGAGGGCCTTCCACTGTTTGCCCCATTGAGGAAACCTTGAGTACTGATGGGCTATAAGCAAGTTTTGCAAGTGGGGAAAATAGCAACTACTGAAGCTGCAATCACACATGCTAAATAATCCACTTTCAATCCACTTTCAATGCACTTTCCAACTGGATTTTGCCAGTTCACACAGTAAAAATCCAGTTTAAAAGTGGATTAAAAGTGGATTATTTAGTGTGTGTGACTGCAGCCCTAGTGTCATTGTAAACTGGGAAATAGCACTGGGGGAGGGGGGGGGAGACTCAAGCCTTCTCTCTGTGGTCCTGTCATGCCCTGGAAATTGACCACAAAACTCCCAGCACAGGGCTGTTTGACAGGACTGGGGCAGGCTCATGGTGGATATGAGGAATTGGCCCTCAGAGACTATGGAGTCAGCAATGAGTATAGGCATATAAGGTGGGATCTGAAGAGGCACATTAAAAAGCTTTGACTGGAAGACCACATATGCAAATTGCCAAGATCCATTTCACCTAATTTACTACCTTATGTGTATCTTAGGCTGCACGTAGAAGTGTATCAAGCTAAACTATTTAAATACTTAATCAATGGAAACTTTGATGGTTGCAATCTTTCCTGAATTGTGCCGTCCATCAAGGGTAAAGGAATCCCCAGAATATAACAGAGTGTTCTCCAGTTCACAAGACACGTATGAAAGAACCACGGTTGTCCATTAGAGGAAACTGGTGGACCTTTGTGCCTCCTGTACACCATCCAGCCCCTTCTGTGTGCTTGATCAAGTTACTTGTGCTCCTGATCTTGACTAATTTGGTCAAGCGGAAATGGAAGGCCTGGATAGAAATACGAAAAGTGTCACCATTTTCTCCTTGCTTCTTTTTTACTTAGGTATTGTATACTTTTTGTTGTTTGTCAACTATTTTAAAAAGTGTACACAACCCATCTGTCCCCAGAAGGCCCACTCACGCATGCCAAGGCAAGCCGAGGGAAACAGTTGTTAAGCCCTCCATGCACAGGAACAGATTGTGCCCCCATGTGTTTGACTGGAGTTGTGCATAGTACTACTGTAAGGCAAATGGCTTAGGAGAAACTTGTTGCTACTAGAAAAAAAACAATGATTTTTTTTTTGTTATCAACCTGATTTTTCTGCTTCTTAATTCAAAATTCTCTTTACAGCAACATACCAGCATGGCAAACTGCAGTAACGATACTGAGATTGATCCGAATATCATCACTTTTGAACTAATTCTCTACATCCCATTGTTCTTTCTTGGAGCTGTATTGAATACAGTTGCATTGTGGGTGTTCTACTTCAAACTGAGCAGATGGACAGAGGCCAGAGTTTACATGATCAGCTTAGCCATGGCTGACTACACTACAGTGTTTACCTTACCATTTATGATGATTTTTCACTACCAGGGATGGCATGAGGATGACTTTTGCAGAGTCATAGAGGCAATCTATTTTATCAACATGCCAGTAAGCATCTACACCATCACCTTCATAGCAGTAGACAGATACATTGCAATCAAGCATCCACTGAAAGCCAAAGTTCTGAGGTCTCCACAGAAGGCAGCCATCAGCTGTCTGTTTCTTTGGCTGTGTTGCTTGGCTTGGATGACCATGGTCGGCTCCTTGCTTCCAAGAAATAATCAAAACTATTGTTTTTATAAAAATCCTGATAATGATTTTATTTCCATTCCGATTGTAACAGCTGTCTTCTTGCTCATACCAATGGTAATACTGACATTTTGTTCTATACAAGTCATCAGATGCCTCAAGGAGAAACAGAACGCCAGTTTACAAGAAGAAAAGTTAACTCAGAAAGCGATCTGTATTGTCACAGTGAACATGGGTACATTCATCATATGCTTTCTGCCTTTCAATGTGTGCACACTGGTTGCATTTGCAATGGATATGGCAAAAGGTGAATGCTGGCTAAAACAAGCTTTGTGCAGAACCATACACGTGACAACATGCTTACAAAATCTGAACTGCTGCTTGGATGCCATTTGCTATTACTTTGTTGCCAAAGAGTTTCAGGAAGCTATATCTTTTAAGTCAATGCAATTCAGCTCCAACATATCTCAAGATTCACAACCGCCTACCAAAAACAGCAAGATAATTTCAGGAGGCACATAGCCTCATCTCTGAAGCACTATGTCTGATCAAAGCCAACTGAAACCTCCTCCTCCTCCGAACATTATGAAGAATAAAACTCAACTGAAGGACTGTAAATGATAAAGAAACTAGTTGTGGTGGAAAATTTGATCTATATCTTTTTACCTTTACCTTACTCACTGACAAAGACAAGGCCTCAACTTAATGTCTGTTTTTGAAAGATAAATGTGTCCATATACAAGGTGGTATTTTTATTAGCTTTTATGTTCCTGTTTGAGACACAAAATGCAATAATTTCTGAGCAAATTTATTTTACTAATTAAATGGCCAGGTTCTGTCTTCAAAAACATTAGAAATGACCCTGCTCCCATGAACAAAGACCTCCCATGACACATACCTGTACATCTTAGAAGATGCTTTCCTACTACTATGCATAGTTTGTGTGAGTATGGAAAACTCGGCCTTCTTTTCTTGGCATTTGTGAAGAAAGGAGCCAACATTTCGACATGTAATTATCACTCTGATTTAGGGTTGCCAGTTCTGGGTTGGGAAATACCTGGAGATTTTGGAGGTGCAGCCTGAGGAGGGTGGGGCTGGGGATGGAAGGACTTCAATGGGGCATAATGCCATAGAGTCCAAAGTGGCCATTTTCTCCAGAACCGATCTCTGTCCTGGAGATCAGTTGTAACCCCAGATCTCCAACCACCACCTGGAAGTTTACAACCGTACTCTGATTGCTTATGTAATTAAATGTCTACTGAGATATGGAAGTAAGGCCATATTTCCATGAAGGACCAGGAAGGGAGCTATGGGCTCACAAGTTTTGAGCCTGCTTTGTGACAAAACATCCCATATGCTACCCAGTTGCTTTTCCCAATGGGACAAAGGGCAGCTTCAGAAGGGGAAAAGCTAAATGCTCCCTCCTTCTCTCCTAGGATGTCTTCCCATCAAGTCTAAAGAGGGCATTATATGTGGAAATGTAAAAATGCAGAGGGCTCGTTTTATCATATGTGGTGGACATGTGAAAAAGCAAAAGTATTTTGGACTGAAATACATGCTGAAATGGAAAAAATTGTGAAATGTCATTTTAAGAAAGAACCAGAAATATTACTCTTGGGACTTAAAATGGAAGAAGTCAATATGGCAAAAAGGATATTGATGTGGTATATGATCACAACGGCCAGAATGACATATGCCCAATGTTGGAAGCAAGATAAGGTCCCTGAAATAGGGGAATGGATAAAAAAAAATATTTTTTATGGTTGAAATGGACAAAATGACAAGGAAACTTAATAATTTGGAAGCAGAAGAATTTTTTGCAGATTGGAAAGACTTCAAAGAATATTTAGAAAAATACTGGGATGTAAAAAACAATTTGATTTGCTTTGAAAATTATTGAAAATGGAAAGATAGTAGAAAATAATTAAATGTATATGAACAATAGTTGAAAAATAAGTTACCTATAAGATGTATTATGAAAAAGAGAGGTTTGAAATTAGTATAACTACCGAGCTGGAGGTTGGAGCACTGTGGGAAGCCGAAAAGGGGGGGGGGGAGGAAAGGATGTATAGTGATTTAAGTTTTGAAATATGTTTGATTTTTTGATATATCCTAATAAAAATGTGTTTTTTAAAAAAATAAAGAGGGCATTATATGTACTGAAGAGAACAAATCTAGTTAACCTCTCAGAAGCCTTCCCAGGGAAAGGGCAGAACTTCTGTAGCAGAAACATTGTTTAGGCCTAGCTGGCCTTTTTTAGTTTTTCATTTTGTGACGGTCTAGAACGGGGTAGCTTCTTTTCTGTAATTAATGGAGAGATGGGAGTTTAGGTTCTATCCCAGAATGAGATCATGTGCCAGTGATCTTACTAGTCAAAAGATATTTGATTGATGAAATTACATTGTTCATCATTGCCACCCAGTGCCACGCATCCTACATCTCAGCTGGTATCTCTTCCCTGCATGGGTCTCTTTTGGGTGAACCTAGTATTGGAGAGGTTTGGAGAGTGGACTCTATGATATCACATCCCCACTGAGCTTGCTCCCCTCACAAGACATCACCCCCGAAACACCAGAAATTTCTCAAACTGGAGTTGGCAACTGTAGTAGGAACAGAATCAGTAAAAGCCAGTGGTGACTCAAATTTTGGAGATCAGAGGAGGTTACTCTAGATGCTTGGGCTGGATTTTAGTAAGTGCGTATATATAAACCAGGGAAGTGGATTTTGCCTGCCTTCCTCTTGTGAGCTTTGCAAAGGTGATGCTGACTACTGAAGCACCTGTTCTGATGGAAAGCCACATAACATGGGCAGTTGCACTATTAGGAGAGGAAAATAGGAGAAACTGTGATCCCCTGATTGTTCTCCTAGCGGTGCTTATCAAGGTTTTGCTGAGAGAAGAGGCAATGAGAAGAAGTTTCACTCACTCACTCTTCCTCAATGCAGTCACCCATGTTCCAGGGCTTTTCAACCACATGGGTTTCCCCTGCCCTCAGCACCACATCTTCAGTGCTCAGTTTTCTGGGGAAATGCCACTGACACTGCACAGAATCAAGCCCCCTGGTGCCTCAGAATGAAACTAAATGCACGTTTATATGAAGAAAATCTAGCCCAGAAGTCAGTCAGTCAGTCTCTTTCTCTCTCTCTCAACATATTTGTTCTCTGTTTTCTTTCTTTTGGTGTAGTGGTTAAGTGCGCGGACTCTAATCTGGGAGAACCGGGTTTGATTCCCCACTCCTCCACTTGCACCTGCTGGATGACCTTGGGCAAGCCATAGATCTGGCACAGCTGTTCTTGAAAAAGATCAGTTTCTGTCAAAGCTCTCTCAGCCCGACCTACCTCACAGGGTGTCTGTTGTGAGGAGGGGAAGGGAAAGGAGTTTGGAAGCCACTCTGAGGCTCCTTCGGGTAGTGAAGGGCGGGGTATAAATCCAATCTCTTCTTCTTCTTCTTAATATCATACAACTTGTTATCTAACAATTAGATGTAGCTGAATCTAGTGGGAAAGAATGTTCTCTTTGGTTAAATAGATATGGCTGTGTGCATCTGAACTGCTGCTTGGGTTCCTTCCCTGTGCTATTTTTGGCTGCCAAGGGCTTTCAGGAAGCTGTGTCATTCTTGCTGCCTGTGAAATCTCATCCTAGCATGGCATAGGCTTTCATTCAGTCAAAAGGACTGGGTTGCTTCTCATTTTGCCTCACATGTAATTGTACAAATAAAAATGTTCCAAAAATACATTCTTACAGAGCTCCACATCTAGAGTTGCCTTCTGCACAGATGTTTATCCTTTGGCTTCCAAACCAGAGTGCTGTTTCGGGGAGCGTCCACATGATGTCACCTTCTAATCAGCTACTTTCCCTGTCTGCAGCACAGTCTTTCTCAAAGCTATGATCTTTTCTGAAAGAATGGTGTCTGTTTTCAAAGGTTCCTTCCACACAGGTAGCATTTTCCTTCCAGCCCCTTGTGGCTGCTATTTTTCTTGCCACAACACAGAGTGTTTTTGAAGGCTTAAAAAGAGTAACTGCTATCTAAAAGCCTCAAAAAACTCTCCAGTGGCTCAACAGGGGGGGAAAGTACACAAATGGAACAAAAATGAAAGGAAACAAAACAAATGAAATAAAAAGAAAATGACAACTGATGGAAGAAAGTACACAGAAACCCCCTGGGTGGATGTGCAGTGGCCAATGCAGATGCTTGTGCATTTATAGCTATCATGAATGGAGAATGGAGAATCTTTGATTTGTGGAAGCAACCTTGGTTTTTTCCATTAGGGATTTGTTTTAACAGTTACAGGTACCTTGCTCCATGTACGTTCCTAGGTGTAGAATGCAGTAGTAGTGAGAGGTCATAAACCAATGGGGTAAATGCTATAAAATCCAGGCACAGGAAGCAAGAGATTGGAGAAAGCTAGAGTGATGCGGGAAGAGAAGGTACTTTGGTGAAGGACTGTCCTTCCCTCAGAATGAAGGTCATCTGTAAACCAGAATAATTTAAACTTATTGTTTTCACCCTTTATAATATGGTATTTCCATGTTGTGGATGTATCATATTTGTTTGTCACAATTATATTCCTACTGTCCCCAGGTGACTCCGGGTATCTATACAGTGCTAATATCAAGCCTTCATTTTGGTTTGGCTTTCCTTGCTCCCTTTCCTTTTTGAAAATGTGGGACTAGCTTCTGTCTGCTATGCATGGGGGGGGGTGTTTCTGTCCATTAGCGCCTCAAAAGCCAACAGAGGGGCCCTGACCTGGATAGCTCAGGCAAGCCCAATTTCGTCAAATCTCAGAAGCTAAGCAGGGCTGACCCTGGCAAGTAATTGGAAGGGAGACCTCCAAGGAATACCAGGGCTCGAGATGCAAGGGCAGGCTATCAAGCCACCTCTCTGAAAAACATCCAAGCCCCCAGTAGAGGGTTCACCAGAAGTCACCAGGACTTCCAGGCATGCAAGCACATACACACACAACCAAATATCCATCCCCCCGGAAAAAAAAAAAGCTAGCAGAGGGAACAGAACCATATCTTAATTCATCATGGTCACTGTAAACAATAGCAGCTCCAGAGAAAACAACGATTTCTTTTTCCCTAATGATCAGATATTAATCAGGACCACTCAAGTAATTAATCAAGGCACTTAACCATAAAAAATCCTGTTGTAATAACACCAGCCATAGGAAACAACTGTGCCAATATTAGCATGTCCCAGAAACAGATCAGATGATACCGGTGATGTAATTTGGTCTGTTTGACTTGTCTACTGAATTGCCAGTTCAATGACATACCTCCAACATATCTCCTTCCGACCCAGACCTCCCTTCTTTCCTTATTTGGAACCAAGATTCTAAACCTACCTCTTTCTCCTCTTTGGCTAACTGGGGATCACATCTGTTAATTTAACAGGCCCCCTCTGTACTTTCCAAGTCTGGAACAAAAATAAGGCTCAAGCCTTTGGTGCTTTAACTGGAGCCAGAATTTTTCCCCAGCTGTGTTTGGCTTGGGTGTGCCTGTGATCTTCCGTGTGCCTGTGATCTTCCTATCACAGCTGCCATAATCAGTTTCCAGACTCTGAAGCCGCTTCAGTGTTTTGTATTATACTCAGTGTTTTGCATCGTTTTAATTTGTGAAGAACATCAATAGATACTAAACCCACTTCTCCATCTCCCAGATCTTTAGTAGCAAGAAGCAGTCTATTTCCTGGTATGTGGAAAAGAATTCCTGTCTCCAACATGATAACTTAATAAATAAAACAATGAAAATATGAGAATGTGAAATGTGGAAATGTGGAAATTTGATACGAAGTGGACACCCAATGTTTTATGCCCAATTGTATGGACATTTGTTAGTGTTTTTACATGACATCAAAGAATTTTTTTTAAAAAAATCTGCATCAACAAATGTGATACCTACATTGGCCAGAATGAACATTCAGTTTCAAAATGTCTGCCTCCCACTTTCTATTCCAATTCAATACAAAAACAATACAAAAGAAGGTTAAGGGTGTTTTCAATGCAATATGTGAAAATGGGTTTAAAGAATTATTGTATTTGTCATATATCTGGCTGAAGTGAAGATGGGCCCAACCACATATTTGTCTCTCTGTTAAAGCTGAAGAAGGAAGATGTGATTGATCTGTACAAGAGCTCAGAGATGCTTTGTACTTTGATCAAGTTGAAATCTGCAGAATTTTCTCTTGCAATCCTGAAAATAACATTCCTGTCATTTTTATGACACTTCAGTATCTAGGAACTTGCATGTCAAAAATGTTTTTCATACTCCTATCAGAACCCTCTATTATATCACAATTTTATCTAAGTGTATTGGCATCTCAGTTTACTAGCCACTAGACTGATATCCCTGGTTTTAATCCATTAACAGTACAGTCCTAAACAGGGTTACATCCTTCTAAGACCACTGACTTCAACAGACGTAGAAGGCTGTAACTCTGCTTAGGATTGCACTGCCAGTCCCATCAGGTTAAGTACAGTTTTTCAAGGTCAATTTGATTGTGCAGTAAAATCTTCTCCAATAAGCCATGGAGACATAGTTGAAACATTCAAACCCAATTTTATTCCTGGATTCAGTGAGTAAAAATGTACAAAAGTGTTATTTCTCAAGTGACCTTTAAAAAAAGGTGAAGAATAATTTCTATTTTACATGGTGACTGTTGAGAAAGAGGGGTGGGGCAGACCAAAGGCTCATAGAAGGGGGGGGGGGCAGCAGTCTCAAAGACAATGTGGAAGGCTCACACAAAACATCTTCTGGGTTTAGGCTCTCAGTCTATTTGGGTAACTAGTGGGAAGTCATACAGAGTACATTTGCTGTTTGCTTCACTTTTGATGTAGGAAATGGTATGAGGAATAGTCCAGGTGATATGTGTCTTTTTTAATGGTAGTAGGGTTTTTTTAGTCAACCCATGCAATATAAAATCTCATCTACCTTTTAATATAATTTCTTCACACTTTCCCTTTCCATGTTGATGATAAACTCAAGTTTTTACTTCCTCTTTTCACAAAATGCAATGAAACGTATAAACTCAAGGAAGTTTCTTTTTCTAAGAAAAACAAGTAGGAAGTGATCACAATGATGTCCCCACCCAGAAGACTGCACTACAAACAACCTCATGTCAGACACTGTAGAATAACAAATCTTTTAGTCTCTGTCTAGGTCCTAAACTTTGGGCAACATTAAGTTGAAGATAACGTATAAGTATTGGAAAGAAGATTGTCCTTCAAAGGTTTATGGCTGATCTTCAGGACTGGAAAGACTGGAGAGAGGTAGTGTATATAGCTTTCATCTCCATTCTTGTTCCAGTTACACTATATCATTCTTCAGAACTGATGATGGGTTGGTAACAGTGATTCAACAAAAAGGAAAATCACGTAGGTGGTTCTTTGAATTTATGAAATTGGCAATCAAGTCTCATTCTGAGTGTGGCCCAAAGCCCATTTGATTTCTTTTTATACAATTTGGTTACATTGATTTCATGATTCTCTTGTACTCACTGATATGCATGTTGAGGCTGTGTAGCAAGAGAGCTACGCCGATCTTAAGCATTAGTTTGTGTTTCAGTGCCTGGAGCAGACTGTTTTAAAAAATCTAATTACAAAGAAGCCACAGTAGGAGACCTCAATGTTGTTGAGCACAGGATCAGTTTTGGAATTTTGAGGAGTGGGCACCACCACAAAAATAGCTGCTATGGGGTACAGGCAATGTTCCCTCTAAGCTGTGGAGTCTTGTGAGCAAAAATTTTACTTTGTGGGCTACTGGCATTAAAGTTGTTGAGTGAGCAGTTTGGCTACTGCATAAATTAGTTTGCTCTGTAGCCATCCTTCCTGAGCCAAGACAAAAATGTGTGAGCCGGAGGCTAAAAACCTGTGAGCTAGCTCACACTAACTCACCTTAGAGGGAACACTGGTACAGGAGCCAATCACAAAATGTTGGGGGGATGCAAGCTAAGCATCCTCCTATAATGCAGGCAGCTTTTTCTGAATGGGTGCTCCCTGCAGGCTCAAAGCTGATCCCGCCTACATTCTTCTGAAGCATCTTCTGTTCCAATGAAGTGGAGGAAAGCTAGAATTCTCTTGGCTTTGACAAGAAATGCTTTGTTGTAAAAGTAATGGTTGCCAGGAAAACCACCAGTTTGTACCATGGACACCATTCGGGGGATTAGTGAGCCACAGTGCCATAGTATTTATTTCTATAACATATACCAATTGGCATCATATATATCATGTGATATACATCACATAAAATGATGCAGTCCATGTCTAGACAGCTTACTATGTGGTGCTGAGAGATTGCTGGCTGAGTACTGCACTATCACAAGTTTTGCCCTTGGTGGGAGTCCGCTAATGCTAAAGTTCTTAATGGCTGCTTATATTTTTCCAGAGTGAGCTAAGTGCCAAGTGATGGTACCCAGATAGCTCTCTTGTTGAAGGACCTACCAAAACTGGAAGAAGATGGAAGTTGTTCTCCCTGCTAAGGAAAAGGGGCAGGTAGAGTATGTGTGTGAAGAAAAAGGAGTTTTACAGTTTGACTTTGGGACAGAGAGAGATGCACAGAGGAAGTTAAAGTTAGCTGAAAATGAAGCATCTTGGGGTTGCAGTTTCTTTCTGGAAACTAGTAACACACCAATAGGAGTTGTCCCCATCTGTGTTCTACCTGTATATCGGCAAAGAGTACAAAGTCACTATAAGTCAGTGGCCAGTGCTCTCTTTCATCCCATGGAAACTATACCTGGGAGTGCTGCCCATGTCCTGGAATTTCTCACTGCTCAGGGAACTGGGAAGCATGTAACAGTATTTAGACTGAGAAGCTAAGGAAGAACTGGTGTCAAATTTATTTAAGAAACGTATCCTGCCTTTCTTTCCTACATAAAGTGGCTTATAAGAGAAATTTAAAACAATCTAGATATAACACTTGACAATATTTCAGAGCTAAAAATCAACACCAATAAAATCCATCAATTATAATTGAAAGCTTAGGAAAATGTGTCTAAAAACAATCAAGTCATGCATTTTTGGGCAGACCATTCAATAACTGGGATGCCACAACATAAAAATCTCTTTCTTTCAAGGGAAATGCTATGAATTATTACTCTTGCAGTCACCGCTACTTCTTCAGATACAGTGAGAATGTGAGTCCATCTGCCCTACAGTTTGGAGAGTGGAGTCTTTAAGGTGCTACTGGACTCTTGCTCTCTTCTACTGCTACAGTAGAACTTACATGGCTACCCATCTTGAAATTCTCTTGTAGCTAGAAAAGAAGAAATTGTCAGCACCTTATTCAGGTCACAAGCTTTGTTGTGTGATCAACCACAAGCTTTCAAATGAAGTTCTGTAATGCAGCTTTATTTAACAGAAAAACAGAGTTATTAGTCATTAGGGGCAGGGTTGTTTTTCTATGCTAGATTTTTATCTTTCCTGTAGAGAGCAGCTAGACTTTAACATAACACTTAAACCTTACAGGATCTGGAGAAAATGAACATGTTAAAAACTATACCTTCCAGCAGTACAAAAAACAACTGAGCGAAGAATAGCCCAAGAAGAAAGGGCTGTTACAACAAGATTTTCAGAGCAGCTGGCTGGGTAAGAGACAGAAGACGAGAACATTAAAAGGAGTACAAAAGGAGGCAAGTTTGTTTTCAAGGTGGACACTTGACTGAAGGGAACCAACAGAACACTTTGAACTCCAAGTAGTGGTAAGTTCTTCTTTATGAAGATGCTTTTCTCTGTTCAGATTGATGCTGTAAAATCTGATGGCTTGTCTGCACTGCAACTCAACACAACTCAGGGTTGCAAAGTATTTGGTTCCAGGCCTCACATCTGTCTATTCCTGCAACTGCTAATAGCCTGACTTTATGCAATGATGGATTGTAGCTTGACAAAAAAAAGGCTGTCCCCAAACTTCTTGGAAGTCTACAGACCTGTGTACACTCAGAGTCTGAGAAAGAAAGAAAGAAAGAAAGAAAGAAAGAAAGAAAGAAAGAAAGAAGAGCTGTGGCTTTCAACCCTGCAGATGAGGTTTATTTATCTTTTTAAAAAATTGGAGCACTTGATAGAACCTCAGAAATCTATACTAGTTTTGGATTGTCTCCTGTTTGCAGAGGTCAAATTGTTCCGTGTGTTGAAATGGTCCTTTCAAATTGTCCTGTCTTACTCAGCCTGGTAGCTATTCTTAAGCATTACAATCTATCTTGCTGGTTCTTGAGTGTGTACATGCAGGGGAACCCATTCCTCTTGGTCCCCAGTGATTAAAACCCTTGTAGTCCCTGTTCTGAAATTTAGGATTAGGGCTAGAGAAATTCTATAGATAACACTACATTGGGAAAATGTAACATTTGTTCCAAATTAAATATCAATCAGTAATCATCTAGATCCTACAGCCCACTTGAGCACTAGCAATTACATTCAATTGAAATTAACATTACATAGTTTTAAACATTAGGATTATGTATACACCAGCACTTTATAAATGCTCAACACTATTACTACTAGCATTAATTATGACATTATGGAAGTATTTATTTATTTATGTACTTTGTCACTTCATTTATACCACAGCTTTCTCCCTAATGGAGACACAAAGCAGCTTGCATCGTTCTCTTCTCCTTCATTTTATCCTCACATCAACCCTGTAGGGTAGGTTACGCTGAAAGTGTGATATTGGCCTGGGTCATCCAGCAAGCTTCCATGGCATAGTAGGAACCTGGGTCTTCCAGATCATAGTCTGACACTCTAACCACTACACCATGTAGCAGTAATAAAATATATTGCGTATAGCCAAAAGCCATTACAGTCTTAAATTGAATTGCTAATATATAAAATACCAGGGTTAATGGGAAAACCATTAACAATCAAAACAGATTAGATGAAAATTAACAAGGAGCAAAAAGACAGCCTGGCCCCAAATACAAATCAGGCTGCAACAAATAAGGCCCAGAGCAAGATTATAACTCAAAAGTTCATAGCAGCCAATGAAGCCATGTGGTTGACATAAAGGTCTCGTCTGCATCTAGAAGAAAAATAATTTTCTCATGTGGGTCATGGTGCATAAGATTGCCTCAAGAAATTTAGATAAAGACTCCCAATAAAGAGGGCAGGAAGAGATATAAGGCAGGTCCTCTACTTCTGGGGTGACACAGGGACACAGTTCCAGGGCAACAAGCTTTGGGGCATGCAACCCATTAACATAACTGTTGGCATTGTTTGGAAGCAGATGATTATGCAAGCTATTCTATAAAAGGTGATATTACACCATCCCATAATTATAGTCTTCTTCTTCTTTTAGAGCAACAGAGTGAAGTAATGAACCCAGAAAAGAACTGCACTGTGCAGGGACAGGACTGTAATCGTACAGACATAGATAACATTCAAATATTTGTTTACATCCCAGTTTTCTTCATTGGAGTCACCCTCAATGCCTTGGCTTTGAAAGTATTCTGCTGCAAACTGAGTAAATGGACTGAAACCCGAGTATATATGGTCAATTTAGCCATTGCAGACTGCTTGATTCCCATTACTTTGCCATTCAAGATGATTCTGAAGAGTAAAAATGTGGACATGCTGTGTTTAGTCTTGGAATCTGCTTACTTTATTAACCGGTACATGAGTATATTCCTTATTACCATCACAGCAGTTGATCGATACATCACTATATGGTACCCCTTCAAAGCAAAGCAAGTTAGGTCCCCTCAGAAATCAGCTCTTGTCTGTGGAATTCTCTGGACCTTAATGGTAAGTATTGTATGGTTACATAAATGGCTGGAGGAACGAGATAAGTGTGGATGTTGCTTTAAAAAGACTTCCAGAGTACCATTCATATCTGTTTTTGCATCTACTATTTGGGGATTTTTTATACCTTTAACCATATTGAGCTTCTGTTCTATCCAAATCACAAGGAAACTCATAAAGAAGAAAAAGTCAAACCCACATGAAGAAAAGCTCATCCAGAAATCAATCAACATAATCTCTGCAAACATGGCTGTATTTATAATATGCTTTTTACCTGTTAACATTGCAAACATAATTCGATTCATAGCTGATTACAGTAAGGCCACCGACATTACAGTAGATAATATTGACATCTTTGTGAATGTTGCTGGAATTATTGCCAATACTAACTGCTGCTTGGATGCCATTTGCTATTACTTTGTGAACAAGGAGTTTCAAGAGGCTACCATGGAACTAGCACCCAAAGATTTCTCATCTTATAATCAAAACTGTGAAAACCAAGACTCTGAAATGATGTAATATATGGGTGAGCCTAAGAACTGAATTGGGTTCTGGGTGGATCCAACCAGATTTTTCACTGCTAAAAAAGAGAAGAGGGGGTTCCCTTTGGCCACCAAAAATCTATGCTGGGGATCATGGAAACCGCATGGATAAAAACCACAGGGTACTGAGATTGTAGTAAGAATGGGAATTAGTGGAGGTTGAGTAAAAAAAAACCTGGCCAGATCCAGTGCTTCATATTGCTGAGAACCATGGCCCTCACCAAACTGCTGCTTCTGCCTCCACAAAAATTCTTCACCAACTCTTCCCCATGGTCACTTCATCGCTTCCCTCATTGCTGCCTCAATGACTCCTCTTAGTTGCTTTGAAGATGAATGACCCTGTCTATGTATAAACAGCAATTTAAATCTCCTCATGACTTCTGCCAATATACAGATCAGTCCTGCATGCCCTGTTGTAAGGAATGGAACACCTTCTTTGGTTATGCAGATGAGTAATATGCACCCTCCATCTTCCTAGCTTGGTTTAAGGAGGTAAAGATGGAAGGAACACGTGTACTGAATGCAGCCAGACCATGTATTCTGGACATGGTCACAGTTTGATCAAGAAGCCAGACTGGCTGTTTCTACCACAGACTGCAAGTTGCCCTAAAACAAGTCCCAGAATCCTCTGCTGGCAACAGTTCTGATGCAGTGCTGCTTTCTCTCCTGAATGACGTGTGCACATATGAAGTCCAGCGTGACATGGATCATAGGGGCTGCTGAGGCTCAATGCTTTCCCCTCCTCACAGAATCCCTTCAAAGGTCTCGCCTGTCCTCCCAGCATTATTCTGGCACCTGCCCTTGTCATCTTTCAGGCACAAGGCAAAGAATCACATCCAGGAAAGACTGTGTTTGCTCCATTCCCCCCCTTCCTGCCTCAGACACCCCCCATGTCATTCCCCAGGGTCTCCTATCCCCCAGGAACAGCATTTCATGAAGATCAGTGAGTTGAAGTGGGAGGGGGGAGGCAGGAAAGTTCCATTTTGCCACTGGAAAACTGGTTTGGATTCATCCAAAAGTTCTGCTCTGTTGACCCAAACTTTTAATGTCAAACAGTGTGTGTACATCTCTGCTGTTGCTGATTTATATTCATGGCCCTGTAGTTTCTATGAGCTGAAGCTTTTTTGTATTGTGTTGCAGTTATTGTTTTTATTGCTAATGTTTTATATTGTGTTTATTTTCATATTTTGTATGCTACAGTAAATATATCTTGGGGCAGAAAGGCAGCACACTTTAAAAAAACCCAATACTTTTCTGGACTTGAATTGTACAGCAGTAGTAAAGGGATGAAGTTAAGGAAGAATGCTGAGGAGGAAGAAAATTTGTACTTTTCCTAACTTTGGAGACACCAGTATCTGAAGAAAAAGATAGGTTGTGTTCCCATCTTTTATTCCTGGGCTATTTCCACATAAAGGTTGGGCTCCACCTTGGCTTTCTGTCAATAGCTCTGTTTTTAGGAGTATTCACATGGAGTATTCCATATGTATTCATACTGTTTCCATGTTTCACCATGACTGATTTCGCACAAGGAGCTGTGCCACCGTCGCGCCTCCCTTTGCCCCGTTTCCATTGGTCAGTTTCCCACTCAAAGCTGCACGGCTGCATTTTGCACAAAGCTGCATGGCTGCATCAAAAAACAGGATCACGAAACCGCGGGGGAAATTGGGCGAAGCCGCAAGTCAAAATGTGGCCACATAGCTTCGAGTTGGAAATTGACCAATGGAAACGGGGCAAAGGGAGGCGTGACGGCGGTGCAGCTCCTTGTGCAAAATCAGCCCATATGTTGCTGTTATCTTTCTCAAACTTGGTTTGATACGACTTTTAAATGTCACAAGGACAAAAAAGTGCCCATATTAGTACCATTTTCCTTACCCCACGCAGCAGTCCTATTCCTGCTCTGCTGGAGGTCTTTTTCAGACTTTAAAAAAGTAATAGTTGTATTGCTGTAAGATCACAGTGATCTATTGCAACAATATACTAGTTCCCTGTTTTTTAAAAAAGTAAATTTCTTGACCTTTTGGTTGCAGAGATTGTCAGGCTTCTCAGTCAAAACACTCAACAACGTTCCTTCAGAAGTTTCAGTTTATTGAGGATTAGTACTTGAGACACCATATGTCAGGAATAGCGGGAAAAGGAACAGCCCGTGCAATTATACCCCCTTCAAACCAGACCCCCTGATACAGTGAACCCAATAGGCAAGCACCTGTAAACGGGGGCAAGACACAGCCATTACATTCCCAGAGCCAAGCCTTCAAGGACACCAAACAGATAACAGAGCACAGCAGATGAGACATGGGGGATGGAAGGGAAAGCAGAGAAGGAGTAGGGCCCCCACACATTCCAGATCATGGCAGCATTAGCTGACAGTTATTATTAGCTGACAGTTCCAGATCATGACAGCATTAGCTGACAGAGATATACTAGTTGCATGTTTCTCCTTATAATGCTGCAACCAAAAGTGCTAGAGACTTTTTCAAAATGAAAGCCCGGAACTAGTACATCGTTGCAATAAAGTGTTATAACATTATAATGCTGTAGCAGTATTGTCACTTTTTTAAAGCCTGAAAAAAGTCCACCGGCGGCAGGGGCTGAAATGGCAGCCATGAAGGGATGAGTCAAAATAAGTGTGTGGGTGTGGGGAGAACCTAGGTGTCGATGCTCCATTTCCACTGCAAATGCCTCTGAAGTTGCAGCAGCAATGATAGCTACATGGAGAATCGTCTCCATGTGAAACATTGCTGGTTGTGGTCTCTTAAATTTCTTCTTAAAATGGAAGCCAGTCATCTATGTGGGACAGGTAAAAGTCTGTTCTCTGTTGTAGATAGGATAACCTATCCCAGGAACCGATAACTTTTTTTAAAAATCAAGTTTGTAGCCTTATTGGGACAGTTAATCAAGGAATCTGCCATATACATAAAACATGGGAAGGGCTCTTTAGACAGAGTACCATCAGACATGAGGCTTTGCCAAATTAAAGATGGCATCACTTGAACTGTATTGCTCCAAGCAGGGTTAGAATGCATGCATTTAAGAAATTAAATCACTGTTTGTGCATATTACTGTAATCCTATGTATACTTATATTACTGAAGTTGGGAGAAGACTGTAGCTAATGTTCCAGGGCATGCTTTACTTGCTGAAGGTCCCAAGGTCAATCCCTGGCATCTCTAGTTAAAAAAGACCTCACCTTGGTATGTTGGAAAAGATCTTTCACTGCCCAACTCCCTGTTGAGCCAATCAGGGTAGACAATATTGACCTAGATAGGCTAATGGTTTGACCTGTATATAAGGCAACATCATAGGTTAAGATAATACTCTCCAAAGAAAATTTGGTGAGTTTGTTAGTCTTAATGTGGCATCAGAGTACAAAAATAGAATAAACTGACAACGGACCATGATCTCCCCCTTTACTTGCTGTGCTCAGAATGAACAGAAGGACCATTTGCTGACATTGGTTTACTGTGACACATCACCTCTTCTACAGAAGTTGTTACAGGGATTAGGCAATATTCATTTGTTCAGGCAGCCACAAACTTTTGCAGCAAGACTGCAAAAGAGAACTTAAGTCAACTAGAGTCTTGTGTTAGAATCTTACCTCACTGCAAGCAAAACATCCAGTCACAAATTGTATTTGTCTGATGTCGTAAAATCTTGGCTATGAGCCAGTTCATAACTACCACATGTACAAGTTCAATTGAAATCAGAAAGACCAACACTTATAACTGTATAAGTTTCCAGGGGCCCGTTCACACAGCTAATTCGCCGTGGGAGAGCCATGAATGTTGGGTGGATTTTCTGGGCGCGATCACACCACAACATCTGGTGGGCATAGCGCACCCATGGCCAACCCATGGAGTGCCACCAAAAATGCATGGTTAAAAAGTACCTGACCAAAAGTACTGGCAAATGGTTTGCCACGGGCTGCTGATGGACTCTGTCCGTGTGATCACGCCACCGCAACTTTTCCCCTTTGGCCATCTTCATTGAAGCACACGCACCAAGGGATGGAACCGTGGTTTGCCGCTGACATGTCTGATCGCGTTGTTGTGGGTCTAATTGCGCTGCCGCAAATAGCCATGTTTTCCCCCCACCCACCCGCATTTTCCAGCACGTGTGACCGGGGCCCAGGACTTCTTTTACAGATGAAACAAATACAGATGATTTATTAGTTGATATGAATGAACACCTTTGGTTCAGTGTATGTTATTCCTTAAGACTGCTAAAGTGATGCAAGGCAGAGCTATGGATTATGTGCAGTTCCAGGATTCTCTGTGGGCATCTCACAAAAATGATGAAAACAAATAGGCTTAAATGCTATGGAAAATGTTTTATATGGTCACCTTGTGTACAGGAGGCTGCAAACAGATTGTTGTGGAAGGGTACCTTAGAAAATTT